AAAAAAAAACAACTGGCTTTTGACAGGAAGTGGAAGAATATGGAAGATTTACTGCTGAGTTAAGCAAGCCAGGCTATGAAGGAGAGGCATTGTATGTCCCCACTCAATATATACTGAATGTTCGTACTCTATGACTGAAACTAATTGACTAAAGGATATAGAAAGACAGTAGTATATAGATGTAAATACCAGCTATAGTGTGTGTGAAAGAGGAGGGTCTGAGGAAGGACATTTAGAAGAAAAATAAGGAGGCAAAGCATTAATGGCACAAAGAGATGTGGTATTATCTGTTGAAGATATTTTGTAGTTTTATCAACTGTACTAGGGAGAAATGTTCACCTGTTGAAATATCCATTTTGTAAGCCAAATAATAATGTGATTGAATTTATAAAAGAAAATTAAATGAATAAAGATTAAAAAAAACTAAACTGTCTTAGACAGGAACAGTCTTCATGGCTAATTCAGCCCCGTTACTGAGGTACTACTTTTCCTTATACCCGAATACCAAATGCCCCATGTGTCATGAGGTTTTTCACTCTGGCTGATAGAACATGAACTATTGTCATATTTATATGGTCTTTATGATTGTTTTGCCTTTTCTGCTCTGGTGGTTCTTTTCTTATCTCTTCAATCAGTGTTTGGCAGAAGAATCAAGGGGCTTGTTCTCTCTGCAACTCTCCTCCTGTAGCTGTCTTCTTTCTAATATTCTGCTGTGTAGGCTCAGCCTCAACTCTCTCCTTAACTCAGAGAGACCGCTGAGCTCTTTTTGGGTTTCACCCCCCTGTGCTGCAACCTGGCAATTTCTTCCACACAGTAAGTTGGGGTAATTACAAGCCTTGCTTCGCTTGTTTCCTTTCTTTCAAGGTCACTGTCCTGCACTGTTTGATGTCAAAGTTTGACAACTTTTTTTCATGTATTTTGTCTACTTTTCTAGTTTCAGGTGTGAAGATAAATCCTGTCCCTGTTCTCCATTATGCCCTGAAAGAGATATCTCAGGCAGTACACTTTTGAGTTCTGGGCAACCTAAGATGGAGCTTTTTATTTTTAACGACTATTATTTTTTAAGGTTTGCCAATTTTTGTACCTTGAATTTACTTTATTTACTATGTCCCATCAAGGAGGTCTAGTTGGAAAAGAAAAGTGTTAATACCCTGTAAAGGAAGGTGTTAGTATTATTATTATTTTGGAGAGGTTTATGCTATAGGGCACATGCACTCGTCAGAGAGACAGAAATTGAGAAATCACCCCACCTCCCCCCCAGGAAGGATGGCCATGCTGCAATCCCTTCTTCTTCATTCTTCTTTCAGGGTCCTGGCCATGCACACACACGTGCCTGGCGTGAGTTTAAGCTACCAGGTCCAGGACTTGAACTGTGGTCCACTGTATGGGAGTCCAGCAACATAGCCATTATGCCAACTGCTAGTCCTTGTGTAATTTCTGTCAATTTTTAATTGACAGCATCTTTTCATGGAATTGGGGGAAAGGAGTATAGTTTGGACAGTCTTCCCTTTCTATTACTGATCATCTACCAACTACGCATTTGAATATACCAAGTTAGTTTTTTTAATTTTATTAGCAAATACCTGTTCTGTATTGATGCTCTCGGTTTATTTTACAGCATGAAAACATAACCATTGCTGCCACTGAGACTATTGGAGCTATTTGCAAACATCTTTCTTGGCCAGCATATATATATTATTTGAAACATTTCATCCATGTCTTACAGACAGGACAAATCAATCAAAAGTTGGGTGTCAGGTACTCTCCAATTTATTTTGTCATGTTTTTTAAATGCAATTTTAAAATTATTTCTTCAATTAAGCTGTCTGTACTCTTAATTTACTTTTACCTTTTAATTAATGAGGCAGTGTTCACTAAAGGAAAAAAATAGTGATAAAACTATTATAAAGGTTTCTAAGTCTTTACATTTCTTCTTTTAATAGTCAACGGATAATGATAATCAAATGAGCATTTCTGTGTATCTTTTTTCTCTAACAGTTTGCTAGTAATAGTGTTAGAAGCATTTCACTTTGACCACAAAACTCTCGAAGAACAAATGGGAAAAATTCAGAATGAAGAAAGTAAGTTTCTCAAGCTTTTGTAAGCTAGATTTCTATCTTACTCTTAGATCATTTGTGACTGTGAAATAAGCATGGAAAAATTCAGGTTATTCCTTTTATATTGCTCTTGTAGTAGTGACCAGTTAATGAATTAGGAGGAAACTAACATGAATGGTTTAAGGTTTGGTTTGGTTTTGGTTTTGGTTTTTTTTAGTATTGCTATAGGCCACATGATTTCTGGAACAAAATAAAAACGCTATTTAATTCTAGAGAAGACCAGTAAATTACAGTAGTGAAGAAATATGAATGGTGGGTTATTTACAGAGCAATATAATTTTATCTCACCTTATTGTATAGAAAGATCATTAAGCTGGGAACCAGCAGTTAGCGTAATGGCTATGTTGCTGGACTCCCATGTAGTCGACCGCGGTTTGTGTCCTGGACCCGGTGGCTTAAAACTCATACCGGGTGTGTGTGCGTGCGTGCCCAAGATCCTGAGAGGAGAATGGAGGAGAAGGGATTGTGGCGTGGCCATCCCCCCTGGGGGGTGATTTCTCGCTTTTCCTCTTTTTCTCTTTCTTGCTCTCCAGTCACTCTGGGGAGCACACCTACCCTATATAAAAAACTAAATAAATAAATAAAATATAGCATAACTATGGGTGTTTCATCTGAGAATAGCCCTCTTTATATGCTGTTTTTAGAGCTCCTGTGTCATTGGTACCTCCATTTCATAGCTGTCTGAAGTCCCTTATAAAAACAGCTGTCAACTCTTAATGATATTTCACAATATTCTGTTTGTTTGTTTTTGCTTATACTAAATTATTTTGTCCCTGAGAAATATTCTACTGAGATATTTTATTAATGCTATAAGAGGTTACAGATTTTAGTTTAGATGCAATTTTTTTTTTAGAGAGAGAGATTTTTTGCTATAAGGCCTGTGCACTCGCTGGAGAGACAAGAGACAGAAAACGAGAAATCACCCCACAGGGATGATGGCCACACTGCAGTTCCTTTTCTTCCATTCTCCTCTCAGGGCTTTCATGGCTTTGGGCACCCGTGCTCGTGCGCCCAGCATGAGTTTTAAGCAACTGGGTCCAGGATTCAAACCACAGTCGACTACATGGGAGTCCAGCAATGTAACCATTACACCCTCTGCTGGTTCCAGATGCAACATTATTTTAACATCTTCTATATGGAATAGTTGTGATTAAATCTAACCGTCTGCCCAGTAAGGGTGTAAAATAACAAATGAGCATTCTTACCTGTAAAGGCTGCTTTTGAGTATCTGGAGTACTAAGGAACTCAATACGGATATTCCCTTTCTTGGATTATACCCATGTCACCTCCAGAATCAGATACTTCAGGCATTGCTGACCTTAGGTTCTAATTTGTGGTGAGTAGAGGTAGCTTCCAGGTGCTGGGCACACAAACCCTTTACCTTAAAACTAATCAGTGGCCCCTGGCCTCAAAGCAGTTCTTTTCCCTTCACTTTTCTCTCCAGTTAGGTTCTTCCGTGCTGCCCATATCAGATACTGGCAAAGCAACAAGAATAGTGTCTACTGTGATGCAAACAAGAGCCCCAATCTAATTGTTTTCTCAGAACCCTGAATTGACTTGAATCAGAGCTGGACCAACCCAGGCTGGAGCATTGTCCTTTAGGATGAGGATAAAGAAATGTCACTGAGTTACTGTTCTGTATGATACTGAATCAAGTTTCATTTTCTAGGTCTTGACTCTGCTTGGGAGTAGAGGTTGTTTACCAAAATGCAATGGAAAATTAAAGAGTGATCTTTTTACAGAAAAGGAAAATAGAGTGACAAATAGGACAATGAAGTTTGAAACTTTGAGCACCTACTGTGAGCCAGGATTCTATAGACATTGTCTCATTTGTCCTTATAAGAACCTCAGTATTAGTCACTCCATATTTTTGATAAGAGAAACTGAGGTTCAGAGACATGAAGTAACCTTCCCAAAGCTACACAGCCATGAAATGAAATAAAGACTAATTGCTCCCATTTTTTGAGTCAGTGATGTGTAAGACACATATTTTAGGAAATTACAGACATTATCTCATTTAATCCTCACAGTAGCATCATACGATAGGTGTCATCTCCAATTTCCTGGTGAAACCAAAGACCACTTGGGTTAAGTTCATTGACTGGTCACATTGTTTGTTAGCAAAGTCTGAACTTGGCTGGTTAGCTTTCTTTAATAAGCTGATCCTAGAACAAGAGAAAATTCTGCATAACTGTTGGCTGCCGTTAGGATTTGCGTGTTCATGAATGTAGGTTTTTGCATTTGGAAACTCCCAACCACATTACCTTGGGAGCTTTTTTTTTTTTTTTTTAATTTATTTAATTTTATTTATTCATTCATTATTTTATTTTGACCAGAGAGAGAAAGTGAGAAAGCAAGCCGCCAGGTCCAGGACTCAAACCGTGGTCAGCCATGTGGGAGTGTCCAGCAGTTTAACCACCATACCACCTGCTGGTCCCAGGGTGCTTTCTTTTGATTAAGGCCCTTCTGCCCCCTCGCTTCCCAGTGTGTTCCCAGATTACCCTGTATTTGCCATTCCTCGTTCTTTTATAATTGCCCGTTTACTTACCTCTATCCTTCATTAGATGCTAAACGACAAGAGACGGAAACCATTACCCTTGTATTGACTTTGGTTTCCTCAGCAGGTAACATTGCCTGTTTACAATTGATGATTGGATTTTTTGTTGGCTGTTAGATCTTGGTAGAAAGACTACTTACACAACTGTGTTATTTCCTTATTTGATTTAAGGTGACTTTTGTTGTTTACTAAACATAGACACAATAGAAGTGATTGAGTTACCAGAGCACGAAGCCATGGAAGTGGAGCACATGGATGAGGAGGAGAAGAAAAACACAGACAACGAAGACCTAGCAAACTGCGATCCAGTGGATTCTCAAGGGACATCCACTAAGGAACCTGAGTGTATCGCACAGCCCATCTCTCTTCTTCCTCAGAATAAGGAAGAATTGGAGAGAACGATTAAAACTATCCAAGGAGCCATAACTGGGGATATCCTGCCCAGGCTACATAAATGCCTTGCATCTACGGTAATAATTCTGTTGGGGGCCCAGCAGGTCTGAGTGAACTTAGTTTTGGTGGGGTCCTGTTAGACTGAGGCTTTTAACAATTATTGATTGACTTCAGCTTTTAAGTTTCCTTTTGTCTCAACATTTCACCATTATCTCCCTTCCCTTATTAATTACTCAGATTCATCTCCTGCTGCAGCTAGGCAATACTGCTCCATCTTCATTACAACCTTGACATGGTAGAGGCATGCTTTTCTATCTCCAAAGTCGATAGTAAGATGATTCCCAATTCCAAAAAAATTTATTAAAGATTGGAATATGTGTCCCTTTTCTACTTCTTGGCAACTTATCTAGTATTCAAAGTTCATCTTTCCCCAGGTTAACAGGGATAACATTTAGCAGTGCATTCTCATAAAACCAGAGCCTTTCCTCCTCCCTGTAAAAACATGGGTCAACAAACTATGGCCTGTGACCTGGAGTTAGCCTGCAGCCGATTTGTAAATACAGATTTATTGGAACACAGTTATACCAGTTCATTTGTGTATTATCTGATTGTGCATTTGTTACAGTGAGAATTGAATAGCTTCAGTGGGGACCATAAAGCCAAAAATACTTAGTATCTGGCCCTCTGAGGAAAAGCTTACCAATAGCTGGTGTAAAATAATTGACTTGGTCATTTTGTGTACTTGTGAGTAAACATTTGAGACAATATATTTTTTATGTAGCCATAAATTTCACTCAAACCACTTGAAAGTTCCAACTGGCACGAATTTTATGCAAGTTTTACATATTTCACAACAGTTGTAACTCACATCAGGGAAATCTTGGCTTTATTTTTTTCCAGATGTTCCTTTGAAAAATAAAGCATTCTTATACCTGTTATTTTTGCTATTTCTAGAGGTTTATTCTCAAATTGCACAATTTAGGTTTTTTAAAGAAACTAAACTTAGAAATGGGCTTAATGGGGCCAGCAGGTGGCATGGTAGTTAAGGCGCTGGATTCCCAGATGGCCAACTGTGGTTTGAGTCCCAAACAGGCAGCTTTCAAAATCACAACAAATAGATAAATAAATGTTTAAAAGAAAAAAGAAATGGGCTTAAGATAAACAAAAAAGAGCTTATTTTCCAAGTGCAAGGTTAGTGTTGGTAGGTCCCTGGTCCATTAGTTTTCATTTAAGTTTAACTGCTTTTTTCCCTAGACTAAAAGAGAAGAAGAACACAAACTCGTAAAGTCAAAGGTGGTGAATGATGAGGAAGTAGTTCGAGTTCCCTTAGCTTTTGCCATGGTCAAACTAATGCAGTCCCTTCCACAAGAAGTTATGGAAGCTAATCTGCCAAGGTATGTTGTAAAACAGATTAGAAAAGTTAGTGAACTTAGTTGTGGTGGGGTCCTATTAGACTGAGGCTTTTAACAATTATTGATTGACTTCAACTTTTAAGTTTCCTTTTGTCTCAACACTGGCTAATGACTATGTTGCTGGACTCCCATGTAGTCAACTGCGGTTTGAGTCCCGGACCCAGTGGCTTAAATTCACTCAGGCGCTGTGTGTGCATGCTCAAGATCCTGAGAGGAAAATGGAAGAGAAGGGATTGCGGTGTGGCCATCCCTCCTGGGGAGTGATTTCTCGCTTTCTGTCTCTCTGTCTCTCTCTTTCTCCCGAGCGCACATACCCTATAGCAAAAACCTTTCAAAAAAAAAAAAATCCTGTGAGGGAAATGGAGGAGAAGGAATTATGGCACGGCCATCCCCCCTAGGGGATGATTTCTCACTTTCCCTCTGTCTCTCTTCAGTGAGCACACATGCCCTATGGCATAAATCTAAAAGAATAAGTAAAACCTCAAAAAATTATTCTTTTTTTTACCAGCTTTTGAATTTCTTATCAAGAAGAGAGATACTGTCACAATTCTATGGCTTATAATTATGAATTATTTATGTTTTTGTCTTTGCTTATTTAATTAGTTTAGGGTTTTTTTTGGGGGGGGGTAATTATTTTATTAACTTTATTTATTTATTTTAATTTGACCATAGACGGACAGAGAGAGGGGGGTGGGGAGAGAGAAAGAGAAAGTGAGAAAGAAAGCCGCCAGGTCCAGGACTTAAACCACAGTCAGCCATGTGGGAGACCAGCGCCCTTAACCACCACACTACCTGCTGGCCCTCATTTTTGTGGGCTTTTTTAAGAGAAAAACCACCATACACTTGCCAAAGAGACAGAGACAGAAACCCACAAAACAAGAAATCACCCCCACCCAGAAATGGCCACACCACAATCTCTTCTCCCTTCTCCTCTCAGGATCTTTGGCATGCATGCACAAACACCCGGCGTGAAGTTTAAGCCATGTGGTCCAGGTCTTATACTGCAGTTGACTACATGGGAGTCCAACGATATAACCATTGTGCCATCTGCTGGTCCCTAATTAGTTATTTTTTGATTTCTCATTTTCTAGTATTTTGCTGAAAGTCTGTGTCCTCCTCAAGAACAGAGCACAGGAAATCAGAGACATTGCACGCAGCACTCTTGCAAAAATAATAGAGGATCTGGGCGTACATTTCCTACAGTATGTTTTAAAAGAATTGCAGACCACCCTGGTCCGTGGATATCAGGTAAAGTGCAGTCACCTGCTTTATAGTCAAATGGGTTGAAGTTCAAATATTTGCAGCTTAGACACTGTAAGTCTTACTGTAAGACACTGAAAGCCAAATATTCTTATATGATTTTTTTAATGGTTGCTCTAGAAATTACCAAAAATTTCAAATATAAAATATTCCACCATCTATAACTGTGAACACCAACACGATGTGCCGTGTGGAAAATTCCACGCCTGGCCTCATGTGATAGGTTGCAGACAAAATGCTACAATGCAAAAATGTACAGTTTTCCTTCAGGCTATGTGTATAAGGTATATATGAAATGCAGACATGGTTTCCATTTTCAAGCTATTTCATAATGTATTTGCAACTATCCTCAAACCCAAAAATGTCTCAAATCCCAAACACTTGTGGTCCCAAGCATTTCAGATAAGAAATACTCCAACTGTGTATTTGTAACTTTTAACAGTCTACTGAAAATCAAGACTTCATTCCAAGCGAAATGTAGACACCTTACCACCAGCGAGATTCCTTTGCCCTTCCCCCTTCGTATTACGGATGTTCATTATATCTCCGCATGTTAGAAACATTATTAGGTGATTTTATAATTATTGCTTGTAATTGTCTAAAACATTTTAAAGAACTTGGAAGGAGAAGAGTAGTCTATATTTGACCCAGATATTTACCACTTCTACTGTTCTTCCTACATTTCTGAATCCCCAAGGCCTCTCTGCTATCATTTCCCTTTGGCCTGAAGAACTTCCTGTAACACAAGTATGCTGGCAGCAAATTCTGTTGGTTGTCTTTCATCATCGAACACCTTCATTTCACCTTCACTCCTGAGAGCTGTTGTTGCCGGGTACATAATTCTGCATTGGCAGTTTTTTCTTTCGTACTTCAAAAAAAATGTACAACGTCTTGCCATCATTTCTCATGAATTGTTCAGTTTGTTTTTCTAAGTAATGTGGCATTTTTGTCTGGCAGCTGTAAAGACTTCTTGTCTTCAGTTTTTAGCAGTTTGATCATGATGTGTCTGAGTGTGGACTTTGGCTTTACTTTGGGATTTGCTGAGCCTCTTGACCAAATTTGAGGCGTTTTCAGCCTATATTTCTTAAAGTAAATTTTCTGCAGTACACTACTCCTCCTCTTCTGGGACTGCACTGAAATAAATGTCAGACCTTTCATTTTTCTCCCTGGTTTCTAAGACTCAGATTTTTTTTCCCCCTCCTCTTTTGTTGTTTATTTTGGATAATTTCCATCAATCTGTCTTCACACTCTCAGACACTGTCTTTCATCTCTTTGCTGCTATTGGGCCCTTTGCAGTGAGTTTATTTTGGCATTGAGGTTTGTAGTTGGGCAATTTCTATTTAATTCTTCCTTATCGATGCTGTTTCTTTGTTGAAGAAACTTTATTTTTCCATTTGTTTCAGTCCTCCAGCTGGAAAACTAGGGCTTTATTCTCCCACTTTGCCATACACTTCCCATAACTATACCCATGTATTTTGTTTGAAAAGGAAACATTTTTAAAAAACTGCTGGGGACCAGCCTCAGCAGGGGTGGGTTAACTCGTCGGAGGCAGCGCTGGAAGGAAAGACTGAGGCCTCGGTGCCTTTTTTGTGCACGTCCTGAGTCGGACACCCTCAGAGACTGCTCTCTGAAGAGTGACAACTGCTAGGAATCATCGTGCCTTTTTATTGAAAATGTGATACATGCACGTAAATGGGTGAGGGGCTACGTGTTCTAATTCATAAAATTTTAACAATAAAGATCATAAATTTCATTCAGGATTTGATTAAGGGCAGGTCTATTAATCATCGATACAGTTCAACAATTGTTTGATTGATGAAAGCAGATTCTTGGGAACTTCTGGGAGTGCAGTTTTGGAAAGCAGTTCCAGCAAGCAGAGTTAATTATCAGCCGATGTTCGGCAGCAGCTGTCTTGCGATTACTAAAAGAAAATCTCAAGTATATAGGTATTAGTTCTTATGGATCTCAATAAAGAATGATACTTATATAATTCTATAGGGATCTAAAATTTAATTAAAGGAATCTTTTTTTTTTTTTTGAGGTATTTTCACTGTAGGGTGCGGGCGCTTGCCAGACAGACAGAGCGAGCACACGAGA